ATTAAACACTCGCTCCGCTCGTGTCAAATAAACTCGTGAGTCAAATGCCGTTTACCCCACTTGTTGCATAATATACTATTACCAAACGTGTTGCATACTGCGACAGATATATAACAGATTATCGAATTACGAAATTTTGTACCATTCAATCAAAATATTTACCAGTTGTCATGAAACCTATCCGTTTAACGTGTCGATCGGTTCAGCTATTGTTGTCTCTTTTTAACTGTATACGTTAGACAGAGAGAGATGTATTATTGGATTTGTCATATAAACAATGAAGTAATAGTATATCATGCAACAAGTGGGGTAAACGTCATTTGACTCACGAATTCTTAATAAACGACCGGTAGTCGTCAACGTCAACGTCAAAATTCAAAGCGTGGGAAAGCGTCCGAAAATGTCCGATTGCTCACAAATCCGTGCGGTAAAATCCCGGAAATGTCCGAAGTGGCTCGGATTCATGGGAAACGAAACTGACGTGGTAAAGTCACGCTTCCGGCACGCTAGATCGGTGGGTAATTAAGTATTTTACAGACGGGAGTAGAAAATAGTATATTATGCAACAAGTGCGGTAAACGTCATTTGACTCACGAGTTTATTTGGCACGAGCGGAGCGCAGAGGAGCGAGTTTTTAATAAACAAGTGAGTTAAAAAGTTTACCGAACGTGTTGCATACTATGCTTTTTGTACGACCGTTAGTTTTTGGTTACATTTTCGCAAGACAACGCGAATACATTCACTGACATGACCGTCAAAATCGACAAACGTCAAAATTCAAGGCGTGGGAAATATTTCCGAAAATGTCCGATTGCTCCCAAATCCGTGCGGTAAAATCCCGGAAATGTCCGAAGTGGCTCGGATTCATGGGAAACGAAACTGACGTGGTAAAGCGACGCTTCCCGCACGCTAGATCGGTGGGTGGGTAATTTTACAGACGGGAGTAGAAAAACACAAGTTTAAAACGTTACGTTGTTTATTGAACTTTTACATTTGATCGTTAAGTACTTTATTTTAAAAAAAAAGACTGTAATTGGAAGAAAAATCATCCAAGGATAGAGCTTTTAGGAGGATTAAGCCTTTAAGATCGTATAAGAAAGAAAAAGCAGGTCCTAACCTTCAATTCTGTTTTGTTTTTACTGACGAGACATAGATATTTGAAAATCGTACAATTGCTCTTGGGAAGATTTTAATATAGAAACTGTAAAAACCGCTGACGTCCTTAAGAATGGTATATAAAATTTCTGTGGGAAACTTAAATTATAAATGTCACTTTACTTACCGACTAGCCCACTAGATTTTAATTGTAGCTTATAGCACGTAGTACTTAAATTTTGTGATATATTTTGTAACATTTTTCAGTGTATTAGTTTTTGGAAACATTTTTGCAAAAACGTCAAAATTGAAACCGTGCGGTGAAATCTCCGAAAACATCCGATTACACCCAAACCCGTGCGGTAAAATGTCAGCGGATCGGAAACGAAACTGGCGTGGTTCCCGCTTCCCGCACGCTAGATCGGTGTATAATTAGGTATTTTACATACGGGAGTAGAAAAAATGCTATTTTGAAGTTCTCGGCAACTGACCAAAGTATACGATTGCCGAGCTGCTAGCTAGATCATACGCTTTTCTTTAAATCAACACCCTGTGTCAGACGTATGACGCATGCGTCATCTCGTGTCAAATGTTCGTGTATAGTTCAAGCGACAAACGTTCGTAGCCTGTCCGCGCTTGCGAATAGTGTGGTTCCTTCGTGGATCGAACGCAGGTACGTCAGTTTCACCAAGTAAAATCAGCCATTTGTGGCGAGGCATCTGTCAATTGTGAGTTGGCGAATAATGCGACTCCTATTGAACAAATTCAAGTCTTATCGATTTGGGGTTTGACCTGGCGAGTGGAGTGATCCCATTTCGCTATCGGTATCATTAGCGTCGCTATCTCGCTCAAATACGGGCTATACACTAAATGTGTCATTAAATATGCGAACGTAACGGTTTGTATAAAACGGGCTGATTGAGGAAATTGCTCTTTACGCATCGAATGCGATAAAAATAGATGGGAATTACAATTCTAACGAGAAATGAGAATGTACAATGTTAGGTGATTAATGCTGTTTTCTATGTCATTTAAATATAAGGGTGGGCCTAATGTGGATCCCTGTGGCACCCCAGATGTAACAAGAAATGAATCTATAATGTTTTTGTTTGTGTTTTGTTACTTCCTTTTAAAAATATTTTCACTTGTCTTTTCACTTCCCGTTCAACCGGAAGTTGCTGCCAACGTAGATTATTACATTTTCAGGTTCAGTGTAAAATTCATAACATATTTTGTGCATGATGTCCAATTTCTATATCTAACAATTTTTGAATTATTTGACATTGAAAAAAAATAGTGCAAAGTTGTTCCTCATACAGTTCTTAGATAAGGAAAATTGACATAGTTTTAATATTATAGTCTTATGGTACTTAGCTTTAAGTGGTCGATACTCTTCCATACTTCGTTTTGTGTGTTATGGAATGTTTATTTTTGACTCGTATTATTTGAAGGCTTTATATAAGCACTGATTAGGTCGGATTTTGAGTAGCTCCGATAGTTTATTTTGGGTTGCAGAGTTCGTGGCAGTCTTTGCAAATCCAATGAGGAATATTTTGTCACTTTTACAATTTTTGCTGTTTTGTTTGTTTGTACAATGTTGCAAGAGTAACTATGCTCTGTTTCCCTCCAGTGGTCATATAAAACCAAAGATTCATTTCCGTTTGACAGTGCCATCAGTGTCAAACGAAAAAGAGAAATTATAGGTGAGAATACGTGGGACATTAATAGAACAAGTTAGTAGCTTCCAGTACTTGGGAATTATGTTCGAAAAAACAGGAGGACAGGACACAGAATTAAATAATAGAACAGAAAAGGCAAATAAGGTATACTATGCATTAGTACGGGGCTCATAAATAAAAAGGAACTGTCTAAGGAAACTAAAATGAAAATTTACAAAAAAATTTACAGACGATCCTTATATATGGCTGGTGGGGCCATTTACAGAAATTGGGCAGAAATTATATATATATATATATATATATATATATATATATATATATATATATATATATATATATATATATATATATATATATATATATATATACTATATTAGATATATAATTAGAGATTTGCATCTTCCAAAGGATGTATCCGGGATCGCGAAAAAGAGTTATGTCAATATTTTACTCAGGAAGGACCGCTAGTGTATTGCAACAATATTCCTGACGATATAAAAGAAGAATGACGTCTGTTTATTGTCTCAAATAAGCGTAGTTTATTTGTGAGTAGGATAGTCGGGACATTAGGCTCAAATAGAATGACCCTCTAGAACAAGATCTTGGTATCAAAAATGTATTAAAGTATCAAGAATGATTAAATGATTAAAAGTTGACGCCAAAACAGTTTTACTGCCCTTCTCTTCATATCAAACTTGGCTTGATCGTGTAGTGTGTTAAAGCCCTAGACAAAAATGTGTTTTGTTGTGTTGATTTTCAAAACATAATGACCAATGTCGAGGAAAACGAGAAAAAGAAGTAATTGATAAGTTTCTTGGGAACTTTAAGGACGAAAACTACGAAAGAATTGTTCAAAATATGTTACAACATCGTTTAGGTTGTAATATAAGTTTGAAAGTGCATTTCCTATTTTCACATTGGAACTATTTTCCTGAAAATCTTGGAGCAGTTAGCGAAGAACAGGGGTGAAGTTTCACCAGGACATTAAAGCAATGGAACGGCGATGCCAAGGCAGATTGAGCATAACGATGATGGCGGACTTCTGCTGGATGTTAAAACAGGGTACAATTTTTTTTTCATATTTTTAACTATGATTCCAATTTTGCACTCAATAAAAAAATTAACTCTTTTTGAAATATCGTTTTTTTTTACTTTAATATATGCATAGAATTTTTGAAATCGACCTACCAACATTTCAAAATAAAAACATCTGTCAAAAAGTCTAATTTTGTAGACTTGTGTATTTAATTAAGTGATTAGATTATTCATTTGTTTGAAGCCAGCGTTGTACTTTCTTAAAATATGTCGGAGAATTCTAACCCTCTGGCGCCTTGTTCGCCATTGGCTCCATGTGGCTGAAGTTAGATTTGGATGTGGATTCGGATTTGCAAATATTACATTGGACCAGTTCGTTACTTATCTTAACTAATTCCTGTGAACAAGCTGGGTAGTTTAGATTTGGATGTGGATTCGGATTGGCAAATATTACATTGGACCAATTCGTTACTTATGTTAATTAATTCCTGTGAATAAGCTGGGTAGTTTTATATCTTCCCGACCGTTTCCCGGTAGTTGAGTAATACATCATTTTGAAGCTCTCCTAAGTGGCTCTTTAATGGTCTAATTCAATATCTGGGACAAAGTTACATTTCTTTGAGATTACGAAATAAATAAAACTAATATTTGGTTATTTCCTATTGAGGGTAGTTTTATATCTTCCCGACCGTTTCAAGTGGCTCTTTAATGGTCGGCTTGAATCTCTGGGACAAATTCAAATTGTTTCGAGATTGTGAAATAATAGTTCCATCATTTTTTGGTGTGATTCGAGCGGAAAAGGTGTTATTTTCTGTATAGCAACATTAGATATCGTTTATGGGAGTTCCCCTACAATATTTCCATGCTTACTTGCCCAGCATGTCGACAAGAATATGTTTTTTTAATTAACATAAGTAACGAACTGGTTCACTGCAATATTTCCAAACCCGAATCCAAATCCAAATCTAACTTCAGCCACATATTGGCTCCCGTCCCCGGGATTCTGTTTTTCTTTTATATCACGATCTCTGGCATTAATTTAAAAAAAATGTCGGGATTTATTGTTTCCGTGTGGGCGCGCCCTTTCAAATCGCTCCCTCTCCGTCGCCGGTGTCCTCACCTGTGGAAAACGCACACTCGCCCGTTAAAAGTTTTCCCCCGCTTGTGGAAACTTCAGTTAGGCGTCGCGGTTCCGTGTGCGAGCGTCATTGCCGTGTAAACGTCAGCTTGGGGGCGGGAAAAACCGAAACGCAAACTCCGACGGCGCCTTAAATAACTGCGACCGTAGTAGTAATAATAATCCGGTTAGCCGTAACCTTTGGCGGACCGACTTCCGGTTCGCTCCGGGTTGACATTTCGGAAGTTGCCGCCGCAATGGAAATTCTCGCTGCGGAGACGCTAGTAAAAAATATCACGGTGAGTGTGTGCGAACGTTATAGTGATTCGATTGATTTTGTCGCGAACGAAATATGGCCGATTGTTTCGAACCACGTTGTAAAGCCGTGGTCACACGTTCATAAAGCTCATATTTTTCTCTTTTCTCATAAAAAAATTAATTAAAGGGGCAAAAATTAGGGGAGGGTGGGGCAAAGCGGCTCCCCTGTGGCAAGGAGGCCCACCTACGAAAATTTACCAATTTTTTTTAGCCCTTTGCGTAATACCAGTCCATATAAGTTATTTCGAAAATCTTATAAATGCTTATCTTATCTTATAAATACCAATAACATATTTTTTAATTTATAGAAAAATAGTTACTAATCAGTAACGTTTTGTTTAATTAAATACTTTTTAATAAATAATTTTAATTATTATATCTCTTTCTTCTCTCTCTTTATTCTTCTTTTCTTATTCTTCTCTGTCTCTAGCGATCTGATGCTAGTTCCGACCGACTGCCTCTCTAATATCGTCCATCCATCTTCTGGGGGGTCGCCCGACACTTCTACAGTCTCGGTCTCCACTGCACTCTACTCTCTTCTGTAAAATACCTAATTAGACACCGATCTAGCGTGCGGGAAGCGTCACTTTCCCACGTCAGTTCCGTTTCCCACGGATCCGAGCCACTTCGGACATTTCCGGGATTTTACCGCACGGATTTGGGAGCAATCGGATGTTTTCGGAGATATTTCCTACGCTTTGAATTTTGACGCTTATCAATTCTGACGCTCATGTCAGTGAATGTATTCGTGTTGTTTTGCAAAAAAATAACGGTCATAGAAAAAGTATAATATGCAACACGTTCGGTAAACTTTTTAAGTCACCGGGAGAATGCAACTGTTAAAAACTGTGGACTTCAGATTGATGGAGATCTTAGGGTTTTTAGGGTGAAACCAAGCTTGCCAGTAGCGGCCCAAGTCTTACGGACTCTTCTTTGAATTTCAGCTTGTTAGTTTTCTATCCCTAGTTTTATTTGGTGTGACCCAGGTAGACGTATTATTCAACCCTCTCAATCATCTGACCACTTATCTGGATTTGTGCGAGGATTTTGGTCTTCGTTAAGTTCATGGTTAGACCTACTATTCCCGAAGCAGTATTAAGTTCCGAGAGCATTCCCCGCAACTCACCCAAGTCACTGCTGATAAGCACAATATCATCCGCAATCCCAAGGCCATTATGGTTCCAGTTGAGCTGCTTGACATCCTCCAGTGCCAGTGTGAAAAGCTTCGGGGAAGCAACCCCCTGGGGCAAGGAGACCCACCTCAAAAATTAACCAATTATTTTTTTAGCCCTTTGTGTAATACCAAGGCTAAATGGACCGCTTAAAAATTCTGAAAAAAGCTATTCCATAAGTGTTGTTTTTTGGATAATTTTATGAATTTAGCCTAAGGCCAGAGCTTTCGAAAATCTTAGAAATACCAATAACAAAGTATTTCTTCTTTCTCTACTATACACTAGGAAGGTTTTCAGGTTCGTCTAGTCTCTCACTGTTCAGCTGACGACGACACCAGCTGTCTAAAGTTGTCCATACGTTCCACGTGTTCATTCATCTCTCTTCATCTATTCTCGTTACCCAGTTTATGACATCTTGGACGTCTCCTCTTAAGGTTTCATTAGTTTAACTCAGGCAGCCAGATTTTCCTACCGGTTTGTTTAATTACTTCCTTGTTTAAATCCTTACAGCTAGTAATAGTGGAACCTTAGTAATTGAAATCCATTTCTTGCTCTATCATAATTCTATCCAGCTCCAGTTTGCATCTAATACGCTCTCTAGATACAGTCTTCATCTTGTTGGCTTTTGACGGACCCTTCCGAATAAAACTTTAACGATGTTATTAGGTAAAGCCATTAATAAAAAAATATTCTTACTTGAGTGACAAGGGAAGGGTGGGTCAGGTATATTTTTTCTTTCTGTTATAATTCTTGTGAGTTGACCATTATAATCGTTTTCACCGTGCGTTTCAAAAAAGGTAATTTACTACCCAACTAACTAACCAAAACAGGTTTTGAAAAATGGGTATGAAACTTTAATCAGTAGATGAGTTATTAAACAGGAAGCCTTAAAAGAAACCTATCTACTCGCAAAGACACCAATATCGTCGATGAGGGATATTATGAATAGTGGAGAATTGAAGAAATAGTATGTTATGCAGCAAGTGCCGTAAACGGCATTTGACTCACGAGTTTATTTGACACAAGCAGAGCGAGTGTTTAATAACCGTGACCACGTGAGAAACGAAGATCAGACGATGCACGAAAGTGGAGGATGTAGTAGCACGAGCTGCCGAAAAGATGTGGACTTAGACAGGACATGTTGCTAGACAGGACGACACTCGTTGGACAATAGTATATTATGCAACAAGTGCGGTAAACTGCATTTGGCATTGACAATACCTTTTCTATGACCGTTAGTTTTTGGGTACATTTTCGCAAAACAACATGAATATATTCACTGACATGAGCGTCGGAATTGACAAACGTCAAAATTCAAGGCGTGGGAAATATCTCCGAAAACCTCCGATTGCTCCCAAACCCGTGCGGTAAAATCCCGGAATTGTCCGAAGTGGCTCGGATCTGTGTGAAATGAAGCTGACGTGGTAAAGTGACGCTTCCCGCACGCTATATCGTTGTGTAATTAGGTATTTTTGCAAACGTGAGTAGAACATAGTATATTATGCATCAAGTGCGGCAAGCGGCATTTGACTTAAAATGTTTACCGAACGTGTTGCATGCTATACTTTTTCTACGACCGTTAGTTTTTGGTTGGTTGGTTTTGGTGCATTTTCGCAAAATAAAACGAATGCATTCACTGACATGACCGTCAGAATTGACAAACATCAAAATTCAAAGCGTGGAAAATATCTCCGAAAACATCCGATTGCTCCCAAGTAAAATAAATCCCAGAAATGTCCGAAGTGGTTCGGATTCGTGGGAAAAGAAATTGATGTGGTAAAGTGACGTTTCCCGCACGCTATATCGGTGTATAATTAAGTATTTTACAGACAGGAGTAGAAAAAGAAATTAACATTGCGATTTTCAAATATTCAAATCAATTGAAAAAAAATTATTAAATAAAATTAATGCGAATTCTATTATTGACGAGTTTTTAATTCCAAATTAGTTAAATATCATTTTTGATAAAAAATATTATTTGTGTATATTTTTGTTTTATTGACTTTAGAGACTTTAGACTTCAGAGACCGTGGAAGGAATGAAGTAACACATGATCAAAATACGCGTTGGTAATGGCCCGTCCACAATTTTCAAAATCGCAAAGACCCAACGAGTTAACGTTAGCAATCTATTTACTGGCATGTGATGTCATCACATTTAGATACCCCTGACAGCTATTCCGTAGTTCAGTGAACATAACGATTCTAGATCAATCGTAAAACCTGTAATCTACGATGGGATTAATAAATTTTACATGATTCTACTTACTCCCCCCGGCGAATTAGTCCTTTGTCGCGTATTGTGCGTATTTTTCGCGAGGCATCCAAAATTTAGGTAGTTCGCGTGTTCCTTGGACCGAAATAAAACATATTTGAACTCTGAACTATACCCGGGATCAATAGGGAGAATCGTACGGGGTTCTCCGCGTCATGAATCAACCGTTCCGGCCTTCTCGTGTGCTCAAGTAAATTATATGGACGATTGTGGGGGTTGATTTACACTTCCATTACGTTGGCGTATTTTTTAAGGCTTTGGGCGAAGGTGTCGGATTTGTTGGCGGACGGCACCTGTCACAAAAAAATAACATGGCAGAGCGTCCCAGCGGGAGTTTATTTTCGACTTTCCTCGTATGCAAAAACGTCATCGAAATAGGCATTCGAATAAAGCACTGGACAGTTTTTTTTTTAGTAATTTTTATATGATATTTTAGATAATGATGGTACTTTCAGATTTGTCAATTCTGATGCCGCGTCACCCAGTCAACGTTTTTAGTGTTGCTTGGCAAAAATGTTTCGAAAACGACATTAAAAGTACAAAAAGTTTTAACTACTGTCAATTCGTATAGCTGTGTCTTGTCTACATAGTAGAGCGTTTAATAAATTTTTTAATTAAATAAATGGACTTCAATTATACGGTTTTTAATATTTTTGGTTAATAGGAGAGGGTGGGGCAAGGCGTCCCACTTAAACTTTTTATTATTTTTGTGGCTTTTAACCATCAAGTCGATTTATGTTTGACTAACTTATTAAATTTACCCAAATTTTGGCGAAGCTTCTGGCCGTCGTGCCCCTATTTATAATTTTATATATAATATTTATAATTATTCATTTAAAAGTATATAATAAAAAAAGTTTAACTGATTAGTAATTATTTTCCTATAGATTAAAAAATTTATTAATAAAATTTTCGATAGCTGAATCAATAGAATTATCCAAAAAATAACACTTTCAATAAATTAATTATGATTCGGTTATAATAATGTGGAATAGCTTTTTGTTGGTATTACGCAAAGGGCTCAAAAGGTACAAAAAACCAGAATTTATAATTGTAATAACGAAAAAAAAATGTTTGATTAATTTTTGAGGTGAGCCTCCTTGCCCCGGGGGCCTTGTCCCACCCTACCCTATGTCGATGTTTCCTGTGAGATTATTATTACAGGAATTATAGGGTTTTTTGAACTCAAAAATATGGTGCATTCACGCTTGCTCTTCATGGGACAAATAATCCGTGGGTAGTTTCAGGTACAAAATACTAGTTCACAGTCCATTTTGTTTCACTAAAAGAAACATTCTATATGAATGTTTTATTTACAAAATAATGAAAAAAATAAAAGTAAAAACTAATAAAAATATTTTTGGCTTATTGAAAACATTTTTTTTATATTTTTTTGGACAAATTGACTTTTTATCAGTTTTTATTTTCCACAATACTTTTCGTTTGAATACTTAACCATTCGCGTTCAAAATCGTCTTTCCTCAAATGTTTGGAACACATACAACGGTATCCTATTTACTATAATTTCTCCTATAGTTCTCCAAATCCAGATTTGTTTAAGTTCCTTATGTTTAGGGAATCGATAAAACGATTTTTTCCCAAACTTTAATGCCTTTATTTTGCTGTTCAAATTTCCCATATCAAAAAAACCCCAAGGTGACAATTTTATTTCAGAAATCGCTATTGTTTAAGTATACAGAAAGAACAAAAAGTAAAATAAAACTTTGCCACCATGTATCGCGAAAAAGAACTAGTGTAGACAATTTCTTAACTCAGAAAAATCTTCTTGTGAAATATCGGACGCTTATTAAATAACACTCTGTATGTTATTATCCTATAATCATATTATTAAATTTTTTGGTCATAATATCGTCATAAAAACTTTTATAAAAAATACGAGGAAAGTCAAAAGTAATTCTCTCTCGGGCAAGCCCGGTACACAATTGATAGAGGCACGTTTATCGCAATATATTTTTCTGTGACGTAATCGATGGCATGGGTAATTTATTTCATTTTCCGAAGTAATCGTTTCCAAATGGACTTGCATAAAAGCCTCGCATATAGTCGTAGAGGCGGCTCGACGTCTCCACTGATTTATCGATGTCGGAAATTTCGGGCCTGGTATATCGCGTGCCAAATCGTCCTTTGGCACTCGGTATGCCTGACCAATGGCCGTTCTTTTTTATCAGAGCCGCACGTACATTCCGCATAGGAAAATGGAAATTCGGGAGATGGAAATCTGAGCGCGCGCGGTCGTCGACCTTTCAATTTGGGGCGGAATTGGTTTTTGCCTCGGTTCAACGCACCTAAAGTTTATTTATTAAAGCGATAGCGTGCGGAGTGGTATATACCCCAATTTTCTAAAAAAAAATACCTGCGGAACCAAATAAAAAAAAACAATTCTTGCAACCCTTTAAAGGGTTTTTTGTTTCCAAATTATGCAAATAAAAACAGTGGTAAATTTTTATATAATGGTTAATCATTTCTTGCCATTTCTATATTCCTCATGTATAGTAGCCCCAGAATTGTAGCAGAGTAGTGAAACTTCATTTAACTCTCAGATGCATTTTGACTAACAATGTCAGTCACGAACTCAGACGTCTAGAATTGAGTCAGGCCAACCAATGCGAAGAGAACATATAAAGGGTTTTATTAAACGTCAATATCGAGAGAGGTAACTCCTATAGTTTTTCAAGCGTATAAAAACCATTTTGCTGAAACTGAACGCATTTCTTTAAAGCAGCGGCGTCCCTGAGAAAAAAAAAACAGAAACGTTTAAGAAACAAAAGAGCTTTATTTTTTATTGCTTAATCTGACTATACAAGGTATACAGGGTGTTTATTAATAGAGGTCCGATACTTAATGATGCCTATCCTCGAGTGATTTTAAGAAGAAACGTTAATACATATCAAAATGTTCCTACAAGTTTAAGAAAACAATAACTTTTTATCCTTACTTTTGCTATCCAAACATTTAATGTCATGCTCACGTGAACGCCCCCAGGGAAAGTAAAAATGTTTGTCCCAAAAAAAAACGAGGTTAATTTTTACGCGAAATTTCCTCCAAAAATGAGCATTTCAAAATAACATTCGTTCGACGTTCCTTTTTAATTAAAACATATTCAGATCAAAGCCAAAATTTAGTAAAGTAGCAAAGCCGTAACTTTAACACCGTATAGCCCCAAAATTGAAGACTGACATTACCTCTCCTTAAAATCATCCAAGGCCTTACACCCTTCAGCATTAATTTGTTTATTACAATTTCCCTATTTCTAAATCCAGTCTTTTATATATTTATTTTAAAAAGGTCAAATTCTAGTATATTTAGAGGCAAAGAATTGTATACTCTTGGTGCAAAATAACCCAAAGAGCGTTATGAAACGGTTTTTGACACAAAGTTGCATCTTGTTGGATAATTATAATTTTTTCCAATCCAATCCAAATTTCTGTCTCTTGAAAAAGTAGATCTGTGGCGTAGTTTCTTCTTTTACCATAGGACCCCAGACGATAATGGGAATGTACTAAGGAGAGATGTTAGCAATGTTAGTTGACATTTTTTAGAAATTCCTTAAGATTTAGACAGCAACACCCATATTTGAACTTGAATAATTTACTCCCTTATGATAGTGGGGCCGGTATATGTCTGCCCAGTGTAACAAAAAATTCGCGACTGCTGTGTCCGAAATCTCACAGGAAATTGTCGTACGTTATTTGCGATGTAGGTCGGTTATATTCTTTGTTATAACATGGTTAAACGCAATTTAGATTTTTCCTATGATCGATAACGGAGCCCAGCGGAGTCTTCGCGAACATGCATCGCTCACGAACCGAAACGATGCCGATAAATTACGGGGACATTTTAATGTCGTTCCGAATTAGACCTGCCGTGTATAGGGTACCGAAACGTCCCCTCCCCGAAAACGATTGATTTAATGGAAAATTAAATTCGAGCAAAATTCACGTTCCCACAGCAGCTGATTCGAGCCGCACGGAACGAGAAGATCCCATAGAACGACGACGATGGACAAATACGAACAGGTATCGGTGGTGGGGGAAGGCTCCTACGGGGTCGTGATGAAATGCAGGCACAGGGACACGGATCAGTTGGTCGCGGTGAAGAAGTTCTTGGAGACGGAAGAGGACGCGACCATCAGGCGCATGGCGCTCAGGGAGATCAGGATGCTCAAAGTAAGTGCGTAACGTCTATTTGATATGCTGCTCACCCTGTATAAAAAAATAATAGGGAAATAGTGGAAATGCTTGTTGGCGTTAAAAAGGGACTGAGACATCCTCTGGCAAATAAACTCATACGTTCGTTGGTTTACGAGCTAACGGAAAATGTACGCATAAAGTGTCTTTAAAATATTCGCCTGGCGTAAAAGTCACGTCAAAATTAGAAAACCCCAACAAGTGTTATAATATTTCCGTTTGAACTAAACAGTTTTTCATTTCCAGCTAATAGCGTAGGCCAATAAAGATTTAAAGTTGTAGGGACTAAACTAATAGAAAAACAATGTTTTTTGTTTCTAGCACACAACATTTTTAATTTTTGAGATGCCATATTTATTGTTTTACAAATGGGAACATTTAGATTACATTCTTAAAATTGAAAGTGCTACGCCACTGGCATACATACCTTTTCAAAACATTGCCACGTCGCACAGTGGTCTCAAAAATTAAATTCTCGGTCAAAAAACTGTCAATGTCTGGGGTTTGACAAGCTCTGATCACTAATATGCTCAAAAAAATGTCATTTACAAGATGGCGGCTGACATTTGTCTAATTTGACAAAAAAAATGCCTTCTGAAAAAAACCATAGTGAAAAGAAATAAAATTTGAAAAATATTTCCAAATTGTGCCTTAATTGTCACAGAATATTCAATTTTTCTTAGGTATCTGGAGGGTAGTTTAAACCTTGACCCTTCTGGCTACCTCACGTACAATTGTAATAAAGATAATGTGATTCAATATATTAAATATATTTATTGTTACCAGAAAAAGTAAAAGACATTTAAGGACTACTTACTAATTATAATTGTCCAATTGACAATAGCGCATTTCCTACTAGTTGTTGCTTTCGAAAATCGATGAAATAGAATTTTTCGAAAGTATCTGCGCTCGTATAAAAATTTTATATCTCGGTAACGGTAGGTATAGGATCGAAATATTTAAAAAAAAAAATAAAAATCGCGTGTTCAAGGGTCTACAAAAATGACCATTTTTCAAAAACCGTTTACAAGACTGAAAAAATTCTTAAGCCATTAGATACAGAGGATACGGCTCCATAAACTTTTCTTCTTGACAATTAACTATTGATTATTCCTCGGACTCGGTCTAGACGCGATGACGTCATTTACATTTACGATGTACTGCACGGCTTCAGAAAAAAATATTTTTTTTGAAAACCATTTAAGCCATTGGAAAAAATCATGAACCAGGAAACGTGGGAGATCCAGAGCTACCATCCCTACCTTTAGCATTGTTTCGATAATATACAGGGTGTGCCTTTATTAGGCAAAAATATCTAAAAGTCGCTGAAAATTTCTGTTTTTGTGGATAAATTATTAGCCGTATATGAAAAGCTATAAAACATGGAAAAATTTGATATAAACAGTATGGTAAATTGTGTGGAAACAAAATATTTGAAAAAATATCATTGGAAATCGCTATTATTTGTACAAATTTTAATACTTACTAAAGTTTGCCGTAAGTTTGAAGTACAGCTACGTGAAAGAGGGTTCATACAGGCTGAATGCACAATAAAATTACTTCGATTTTGGGAAAGCTCTAAGTTCTATAGTGGTCCCCAGGAGCAGGACAATAAACCGCGAAGCGGCTAGTTGTTCAAATATACGCGCTACAAACTTGCCAGCCCAGTGGCCATTTTTCGAGAGTCATATTATTATTATTATTACGTTTTTTTGCGCAGAGACTGAAACACGAGAACTTGGTGACGATGATCGAGGTGTTCCGCCACCGGAAACGCTTCTACCTGGTGTTCGAATTCCTCGAGGGCACTGTCCTGGACGAGTTGGAGAAGATGCCGGGCGGTCTAGGTGAGGAGCGCACCAGAGAACGGATATTCCAGGTGGTCCGGGCGATCGGCTATTGCCACGGCAACAACGTGAGCCGTAACAGAACGCCCCCTATCGTTTATATGTAGAACGCGATTATTTCAGATCATTCACAGGGACGTCAAGCCGGAGAACGTCCTCGTGTCGTCTCAGGGCGTGGTCAAACTTTGCGACTTCGGGTTCGCGCGCTCGGTCAACCTCAGCGGGGAGGCGTGTACCGAGTACGTGGCCACCAGGTGGTACCGCGCCCCGGAACTACTAGTAGGCGAGCCCGTTTACAGCTCCCCGGTGGACGTGTGGGCCATCGGATGTCTTTTCGCCGAAATGATGACGGGCGATCCATTGTTTCCCGGCGAAAGCGACATCGATCAGCTTTATCTCATAGTCAAGATGCTGGGCAAACCGTGCGCTCGTCACCAGCAGCTGATGTCGAAGAGTACCCAACTGAGACCGATAATACGGAGCTCGACGTCGTCGGGCGAGTCTTCGACGAACCTCTACAAGGCGTTTCCGTCGTGGCATCCGCAAGCCGTCGAATTCCTGATTGGTTGTACCAGAATGGACCCGCAGGACCGTGCGACAGCCGACGAACTGCTCCGCCATCCCTACTTCGTTCACGACAAGTTCCCGCAGAGGTTTCTGCCCGCGTTGAGGGAAAAGGTCAACGCGGAGTTTAACGCGCCGCTGCTGCGCAAATTGAGGTCGGAAATTTTACTGTCGACAGACAAAAGGGACGAATGCAGACCGAGGAGGTCGTCGAACGAGGGAAGGTGGAGGACCGGCGAAGGCGCGTCGACCAAGAGGAAATTGAACTGTGAGCAGTACGAAACGGATAAGAACGTGATCACGCTCGCCAAGAGTAGTCAGAGGCTAAATGTAGTCAACGGAAAGGGCACCCAACACCAGCAGGTTCGTATTGCGTCAAGCAGTGAGCCTGCAGTCTAGGGCCCAGCGTCTATAGAAGTGGCGTAGGTATGAAGGTGGCGTGCCCGTTCAGTACAAAACGTTTCGTCATGGCGATTGTGACGGTTTCATATTTCGATGGTAAAATTTAGCATTTTAAAAGTAAAAATACTGGCTCATTTGCAAAGTAACGGGTTTATTTTGTTTGGACCTAGTAATAATTTTCTTTTCATAATATTAATCTTATAAGTACCTTGTAGAATTAATTGTGTTGTCCATTTCCCTCACCTTTTGCTATTTGGCGAGGGATTCTTATTTATTACGTTCATATTGACTTTGCCATATTAACACACATTCTTTTGTAGAGTCGGTTTTCTTAGTTTCGGACTTGTACTCTCCGGCCGATGGTGTTGCCCAACCATAAATATTTTACGCTGCTACGGTTGTGTGCGTGGCCCCTTGTTCGCTCGGTTTTCTTTTAGGTGACACCGGTTTACTGAGAGATACTAATGCTTAAACAGAGTATTAGTTGCGCATTAGAGAGTGTCGTAACCATTACCATCCGTCACTCTATGAGACTGGGAACCACATTTGCTTTTCATTGCTTCAGGTCTTAAGGGGGCCTAATAAATATTGTTTTGATTTCTTAACCTATTCTTCCTCGACTTTCTGGGACTGGCCATCTGGTCGCTACCATAGATAGCGTTCGGGTAGTTCGATTTGGTTGACCCAACCTCGATTCTTTGGTACGGGCCATACGGCCACCACCACAGATAGAGTTCGGTTATTCGATGGCGAACAGTCAACTAGATTGGCAAGAGTGGCGTTTTTCCTTTAATTTTTTGTGCCCATTTAGCCTTTTAATAAAACGGATTGTCAGAATCGTCCGGTATTTTCGTACGCTCGCTTTCGAAGCCTAGAGCTGTGGGGATATGTAAATTAGTCACTAATTTATGATTTCCCATACTTTTGGATCTATTTGGAGTTTGGAATGGGAATCTTCCTCAACGAGGGATTTTGAAAAGAATTGTCATTCATCCACATTTTCTGAAAACCCTTTTCCTTTTTTTTTTCTTGTTCCTCTTTTTTTCCATTTTCCCGCAAACCTTCGACGTTGTTTCTTCTTTCCCCGGAATACCAGAGAGCTTCGCCAGACTTGGTGTCTCGCAGTGAATGCTGTCTCATGTGTTCATGTTTAGTTTAGTTAGACGGCTTTCCTGACGGACATTGACGGGTGTTCATTGAGGCACCATTCCATCTTGGCTTGGTCCCCGGAATAGTAACAGACAGTTGTGTAACGTTCGAGAGAGCTTGAGGTTTGGGTAGCTTAAGTGGCCTGTTCGCTTCAAGGACGGTTTGCTGAACTTATAGTCTCAAATTATAGCCCACCAGGGAATAGATTTATATACCTTTTTTTCCTCATTTACACCTTTTACTGTTGTTACCCTTGCCCGGGGATTTGGAGGAAATAAATTATTGTTCGTGATTCATTTGTTTATTTCCTTTGCGGGTTGGAACCTCGGGTTAATAAGTTTAAAGTCTGTTCATAGATATAAGAAAGTGACCAACTGATATGAATTAAGGAAAGACCCGGGAAAGCTGTAATAATGAAATCTTACTTAAATTACTTAAAATTATTCACATAATATATCAGCATCACTATCGCTATCATCGCCTGTTCTAATTATTATTTGTTCCATACGATTGTTCTGCTTTTTCTATATGTTTAACAGAATTTGCCCAACTTTGTGGAGGGATGTTAAAAACTTCGGTTTCTATAAGTTTGAGGACTTTGGAGTTAACACGGGGAAAAACATTGTTACGACGAATGGCAGGTTTCAGGTGGTGCCAAACACGTTCAATGGAGTTAAATATACAGTGGTAAGGCGGAAGCCTTAAAACTGTATGCCCTAGATTCTTTGCATAATTATCACAGACGTATTCCTTTTGTAGGTTTAAGCTTTGTAGAACCTCATTTAATTGCTTTTTGGTATAATCTTCGTGAAAATAAATGTGGTTTTAGTCAACTGTCTACTGTCATAACTTACATTGTCCACTACAATGACGCTATTAGGAGGAATGTTTGGAACTAGTTTGTTTTTAAACCAGTTTTCAAATAAATCAGCGGTGGTAGCTTCATGGTAATCCAGAGAAGAATCTTTAATATTTTTCGCAAACAGAGTCCATTTGGAATACAAGCATCTTTGGAGGCAGCATGCAAAATAGTGATTCTTTTACCTCTTTTTGATGGCGCGTTTGTTTTACACTTATCAATTGAGTCAACCCAACCCCTTTTTCGGGGTATCATAAGTGTCGAAACTTTCCTTTTGTCAATTTCTTCCGTAAGGTAGTTCTGCCACATTTAACACCGGTTTCATTTTTTTCAAGCCTCCTAATTAATATATCTAATGTAGGCAAGCTTTGTTCCTCGTATAACTGGTAAATTTTACGTCGTATTATATATTGTTCATTTTCATCTATACTCGAGAAAATGTCAGCATCGCTTCTTTTTTTCCTCGCTGAAATGGGATTATTCACAATTTTCCATACAGTTGATGTTGAAATTTTTATCAATGTGGCCGTTTCTTCTAAAGATGCTTGCTTGCTGGCACCACGGTAAATGAGAGTCAAATAAACATTGTTTATAACTTCCTTAGTCTCAATAGAATAGTGTTTTCTAAATTTGGGCGGGAGCAACTCCTGAGATACACGAGACTCGCACATATTTTGCATAATTCGCACACGATTCAACACACGCTCTATTACACATGAAAGTTAAACTAAGTAGTATTAGTAGTATTATTATTCTATTACGGACCACAATTTTACCTGAATTTAAATTCCGAAACTTTAGGTAATAATCTTGTTGCATTGTATGTTAATGACCACCCTTGGATAATCCCATTCAGAAGCAATTGATCACTTTCTTATATCTATGAACAGACCATACCTTTTTTGAATCACGTGACGGCTACCCACCACCTTCCAAGGTGCCCTTGACCGCCTTCCAATTTGAGCTTCAATTTAATATTTTTTTTTTACTTTATTAAATTTTTTTGTTTGTTAGTGAGCTAGCTTGGGCATTGTCATACCTCACTATTAAATTTCAAATTTAATTAATTAATGCTTTTCTTTTTCACAACCCTGAGATTGAGAGGTAAGAAGACTTGTTGTATTTTCCAATAATGCGGGACGATCTACAATATAATAACAAGTTTGTCGAATTAATTGAATCAAAACCATGTTTATACGACGGACTCTCAGAAAAGGAAATTTAAATTTGGCATTTTAACCTTAGCTGGGGAAATATTAGAAGGCAGTCAATCAGGTTTGAGTGACTATCAAAGCTTTTCACCACTTAACGAATCTTCCCGACGCAGTTCAGCTATGCAACAAGTGTACTCTCCGATTAGTTCATCTCCAAATCCACCTAACGAAAACATATTTCGCACCTATAATTCATTACAAGACTTACGAAGTGAGTCACCATGTACTATTCTAACGCTCCAGCTACAACAGTAATACAAATAATTAATTTTTTTATTCAGTCTGTATTACTATCATTATGTGCTAAATAAATATGTTTTGGTCTGAGGCACTTGCTTTATTCTTATTAATAATACTATTTAACAACTTGCCCGATTGTTATTAACAGCCGAGTAAAAAAATCCTTTGACATTCTGTAGAAATTAATGCACCCAATATCGTCTTCTTTGCATACCTATTATTTAAGTGCCCTAACGCAAGTACGTCTTCGTCCTGTGAAGACGACACTTTACTAAATAAACAAACACCTTGCGCCGCAACCATGCCACGCAATAAGCCTCTACCACTTCTGTGGGCGAGAGACCTAGAACTGCCGACTGGCACGTCTTCAGGTATCATTGATGGCAAAAATCGAACTTTAAACCTGTTGGAAAATTTAATGCCTTAAATATATTAACACTTTCAATTTTAATGTTTTATTAATTATCAACTGTATTTTTTTTTTTTTAAAGATGCGCTGTATATTTTTCGATCATTGAAAAGAATTCTCTTGGAAGCTTTGAACTTTAAACAAGTAGGCCTTGGGTGCCGCAACACAGAAAACAAATGAGGTAGTTGCCAAATAGGAAACTTAAACTTTTTTTTTTAATATATATGTTTATGTACAAAAATGAAGCTTACCAAATATCAGAACTCAAAATCCAATATTTAAGTTGCAATGAATAATTCAAATTGTGACATCCGTCCATACTTCTTAAACGACACTAAATGCACGAGGATGCTCGTGACGTCATACCGCTGATTTTTAGTCGATACGGGGACATGTTATAGTGTTATTCTCAGGTTCTAGGCCGAGAATTATATTATTTATTTTCGTTAATTTTGGCTCGTGTAAAGATAAAATTCCAGATTGACTTTTTATTTGTCAGAAAATAAAAGCCGTTGTTTTTTGTTAACATTATGTTCAGGTGCCACTTTAGCCTTAACTCTTCGAACTTACACCAATCCTATTACAATCTCCATAGGAATGGCTTCCTGATCTATATAAAATAAAGAACAGTTTAAGTCACCAATGCCCGTGCATTTTAAAATCAGTACTTTAAAAAGAAACGTTTTGGTTTTTTTGTCGAATAATTCCCATTTTATTTGATATACCATTTGAATTTTAAAAACTAGAAAACTTTAAGCTGATTACAATATTATGTTGGTTTAAAACTAGTGGTTAAATTTGCTATGAACTGGCCTTTTAGCTTAAACCTAAGCAAACGAAAAACTTTCGGTGTTTTATATGCAAGATGTCACCATAAACATATCTAATAAAGGTAAATTATCAAATTAATCTTTTAAAAAATCGGCTTCGGTCATTTTCAAAACATTCTTTTTGATACTAAATACAAGATAACAAATGCAAGCAACAGAATCGAAGCCAAAATTAAAATTAAAGCCACCAAGATGAACTCGTTGTCGTTCTCTAATGGGTTCTCTATGCTACCGTCCGGCTGGTGCGTAATCTTATCAGCGAATTGACGTCACAACCGGTCACAGCCAATGACAGCGCGTTTCAAAGAGGATTTAAATTTTACAATTTTTAACTGCTTATATTTGTGGTACTTTTAATGCTTGCTTTACGAATTAAAATGTTCAAGTTCCCTATTGGGATTTTGCCTGTAAATTCGCTGGGTTTTCAAATAAATTTTAAAGAGTCAACGAAAACCTCGGTTGTTTTTTTGGGGTCCACTTGCACCATGGCAGTTTTCTGGTACTGCGAGGCAAGCCAATCTAATGTTAATTCTTGCTGATCTTGTTGGTGTTTTTAAGATTCCCGTTAACGTTGTAAGGTTATTTTTAACGGCTTCTAAGACCACGTGTAATTCACGTAAAGCTTTTTGGCCACTTATTTTCTTTCACAATATTGCGCCTAGTACAAATTGTTTGTTGCATCCTTGTCCGCTTCCATAGAACTATAATAAGCTATTTATTTGTCTTTTTTTTATATTATGGTCGCTTCTACCCGAAACACAGGTTCAGAAGCAAGTCATTACTGCACTTGCACTCGTTCAAAACGCTGGAGTAAAAATTTTATAACTTAGGCCAATAAATTCTGAGTAAAAAGTTGCTAACCAAGCACCGGCATGAGTTCTCTAGAAGAGTTTACTTTTAAAATATCCATTTTGGACCACCCTGTTCCGACAATTTCCTTGCCTGTGCAAAATTATAAGCGCAATGTATTTAAATAAGAACAATTTGTGTAAAATCTGGTTATTACGGGAATTACAAAATATACTGGATAATTTTTAGATAGTACATTAACTTCAGAAGCATCGGGTTTCTGAAGTTATAAGCTTCAACCTGCTTTCTGATTTTTTTTTTAAATGCAAGAATATAAGGGTTGTATTCATACCGTTTCTGTCTAATCTGTGAGGAGGTTACGAAAACTAGCCAAAACTGAATTTCCTCACTTTATTCAAAGGTAAGATACTCTAATTAATCCATAATTAATATTACACCCACTTTTCTAAGCGTTCTTTATTTGACAAAAAGTATGCGCAATCACGGTTGCATATGGATAAAAAAAATCAAAAAACACTCTAATAATGACATTGAACTATTGTCCCGTCGACCCTCTAAAATACTGAGCACTCGTCGTAGGTTTTATCGAAGCAAACAGCACAACCGGCTCAAACAAGCAAAATCAAAACCTCATTCAAACTGCCGCCTCACACCGAAATCCAGCTACTCGAAAAATCACTTGGGAGTTTGGCGCGGATCAACACGAACGACGAGAATAGGCCGATATCCGCGCGGAACGGCAAAGATCCCAGGACGACGCCGCTACTTCCAGATTCACCTTCGCCGGCACCATTCCAGTCCCTCCATTATTTCGGCCTCAACGATTACGGCAGGTCGCCGCGAGCCCACGCCGCCGTGCTCCACCCTAGTATCAGCAACATCAGCTTCAACAGGGAGCTTCCGAAGAAGTCGCCCAACGTACTTCACAGTCTTAACAATGCTTCCAAACAGACGCAGGTGAGCGTCCTTTTCGATTATACTAATTTAGGTAAACAAATATTCGATTATTACCGACGAGTTGGTTGACAGTTGACAAAAACGTAACTACACTGCGCGCGAATATTTTAGAGGTTCGTTTAGTGGTGGGCTGTGATTTTGTCAAAAATCGGTAGATGTCGGGGGCGCTGTTTATGCAACACACATCACACAAACACAAACATCATGTTTTGTTATAAATTGCCGCGTACACGTTTAGAAGGTTGAATGAAGGGTCTATATAAAGGTTCTCGGTGCGATAAGAATATCGGATGTGAAATTTTATGGTTTATCCCATAGTGTGCAGAGGACTATATTAACATAAATTAAAGTTTAATGTTTATCGTTCCTGTAAAACACCATGTTTTGTTATAAATTGCCACGTACACGTTTATGAAGTCCAATCATAGTCTACATAAGGGTTGTCCATGCCATCAGAATGTTAGAGCTGACATTTATTGGTTTGTTATATCACGCAGTGTGTCGAAAAACAAATTAACCTAAATTAATACAAAATCATTAAAATTTTGTAAATTTGTAACTTTGTACATGCATTGCAGATTCCGGGCTTGTTTTACGTTTTGCACGAAATCGGGCGGTGTTTCTGAGAAAGAAAACGAAGATTTCAAATCTTTTGTTTCGTCGTCGCTTTAAAAATGCTTGTATGGTCTATGGTTGCTATATGATTGAAATGCATGTTTTCAGGTTCCTTTGCTGTCAAATCCGCGGTCGCAGTTCGTCAAAAAGCTTGAACGAAACGTGATGACGGAAAATATTTTCGGTTCAGAGGATCCGGTCAACTTCGGTGGTAATCCCACAACTTGGTTATCTGGTTATGCCTACAATAGCCAAAAGAAGCGGGAGCTACCGAAACACGCGAAGCCCGACGATTTCTCATTGCCAAGTTTGACAGGAGGTAGGTAGCAATAAAAATATCGCAGTAAGAGGCACTGATGAACGTTTTACGGGGCAGTTAGCGGTTCACCGAACAAAAACAAGAAAAAGGACGTGACAGACTTCGAACTTCCAATATCGACGGAAGTTAGCCCGGTGAGTCTATTTATTATTTGATCGTAGTCAATCGTGGTGGCGACATCTGTCGGCTTCTGTAGGATGTATGATTCTGCTGTCGACGTTGTTCACGGATAAGAGAAGTTTGATTAGTTTCGTAGTTTTGCGTTGTGTTAAATGTTTTTTCTACTCCCGTCTGTAAAATAGCTAATCACCCACCGATCTAGCGTGCGGGAAGCGTCACTTTACACGTCAGTTTCCTTTCGCATGAATCCGAGCCATTTCGGACATTTTCGTGTTGTTTTGCGAAAATGTAACCACAAACTAACGGTCGTAGAAAAAGTATAGTATGCAACATGTTCAGTAAACTTTTTAACTCACTCGTTTATTAAACACTCGCTCCGTTCGTGTGAAATAAACTCGTGAGTCAAATGCCGTTTACCGCAGTTGTTGCATAATATACTATTTCGATGTTGCTTTTTATTCATTAGTCGGCTTGGGCAAAAGGAGAAGTTTTCATTTTCGAATTTTCTCTTTGTTTTCAGAGAGTAGAATCGGCAACGTCACAAAACTCGCCCACCATTTAACACGCAAACACCTAGAGACACTTTTTTAACGTGCGTTAATTTTTTTTCGGACGTTTTGTTGTAGGCTTTCAGATACAAGAAAGCGAAACGGAAACGCAACGTTTTGGATATCGCGTTGCCGGTAACCGTCAAAGAAAAGCCTAGTTTTCCATAACCCAGTTGTGCTGTACAAACTTTTTTTTTCTGTATGTTTTACGTTATTAAATGTATATATAAAGGAGATGGAAGTTGTTTATGTGTGCGTTCTGTGGCGAAATAAAACAAACAACGTGAGTAAAAAACTTGGCGAGGGTGAGTTTATGGGACACAAAAGTTTAAAAAAGCCACCTGTTCAGAAATTATCGAGAATAGATTAAAAACTGAAAACTCATGTCAGTTACTAATGGATTAACCAATTTCCAAAAAGTTTTTTACTATCATGTTCATTCTAAGAGTCATGTTTTTCTTTTTAGAAAATGTTGTGTCCCTGACAACGGAACCCGAACCAAAAATATTTATTGCGCAAAGTTACAAACTATATAAAAATACACTTAGGCACATTCTAGAGAATCCGGTTAATGCGAGACATGCAAAAATATAGTCTTATAACTCGGGGGTCCAGAGTGGCCTCACGGCATGGACCTCTGACTGACCGAATAATAACAGCAGTACCACACAAACGCATATATATCCTATGTATAAAAAATGCGATATGTATTTAATTTAAACTACAATAAATCGGTATAAAATCACAGGCCCGTGGACGAGGGGTGTTAATTATCCCCGAAAAGCTCGTCTATCGCCGCCGTCGACGTCCTCGGACAGGGGTGCGCCAATGTTTCTCCACCCGTGAGTGGCTGCGAGTGGTGGTACTTTATGAGATCACCTGCAATTTCAATTCAAAGCTGTTACAGTTTTTTTTTTCTGTTTCTACAATGCGCAACCAGAAAAAAGGTCGCTTCCCGCGACCTTAATCGTATTCGCACATTCACCTACCTAAAGAATCATGTTCCATCTGATTATTCCCTAAGAAGCTATATTTCTGGGTCGCGTTGACCAGGTAGTGCTTGCACTTTTCTCTGGCTCGATAAGAAATGGCGTAACCCCACACCCTTTCAGAGAGCCTTACAAGATACGTGCCGTAGGGCTGGTCCAGTAGCAGCTTTTCCGCCTGTTGCCGCGTAATCAGACCTGCAAGGGACCGGAAAATTACCGATGACGTTCCTCCCAAAGGATAACATAATTAAAAATTGTTGTTTTATCGGTTTAGGATTAAAATAAGACGCCTTACTATTAACCTTATTTATTGTCATGAACACGGACGGTGGTCTGTGTTAACAATGTTAGTAGTGACCAAACGATTTATGATCAGCGTCTATCAAACACACGTATTAATTACAATAACGGAAAAACCGATTTGTGCTATAGATATGGGTTTTTGTTTTTCGGTACCATCACGATTTGTTTACGCAAATTACAGAAAAAACGAACCCTTTTTTTATGTGGTCTGTTACCTGACAAAATTTGTTGAGGTTATTCGCTACGTGTAATTTGGTTTTCGTTATATTTTGTGTCGAAAAATTTTTAAATGTGCCCTTGGTGGGTGTCTTTCAAAAACTGCTAGAGTTGTGACTTTGTTTTGTTTTCCAAAGGATGCGAATCGGTAAGTACCTGAATTTACCCTTTTTTTTCAAATTTTGCCCCCTTCTGATGATATACAATTATTATTTTTTCACCAGAATAAGTACATTACCAATTCACACCAATTAATGATACTGCTTCCAAAAAAGAAATCTAAATTTATGTTGCAACAAAGCTCGTATAAAAGCGGTGTCATGAATAATAATAGATAATGTGCTATCTTCAATGTGATTAACTTTTCACAATGTTTTCTCAGTATATCGAATCGTTATACAAAATTATTTCCCTCAGTTCAATAATGTGGAAACGCGTCATCAAAACGAGTCCTTTAATATCAAAGGTAGGAACACCTTTTGTCGCTTCTCTACAATCTCCAGAACGATATAAACCTAAATCCACCTCCACTAATTATAATCCTAACTTTTATCCTTTTACGCGTCTAATTCGTAAATTAACTGAAACGTTGTGAGCCCAAAAGAAATAAATGATTAGCAAATAGTGGACTCACCGTGGAACCAGGGCTCGATGTTGTTCGCGTCATCCAAACCGGCGCCTCTGTTTTTCTCCCTTGCTCGGTACCATTCCAGTACCGCTTGGCGACCTGGTGGTACCCCTGCGTTCACCGTACCGTAATTGGTATCGATTTCCATACTGGACGTCATTCTGTGCTCGGCTCTTGCTCTCCTCGCTATCTCCCGTATTTGTTGCTCCGCCTGTTTAGCTTTCCGCTCTGAAAATAACGAGTGTTTTTCCTAAAATGGTACCCAAAAAAAGACATGTTTCTGGAGCAAGTTTCCCTTGAAACCAGAGAGTAATGTTACATAACATTGTCATGCCATGGCGTCCTCGAGATTTATATAAATATAATATTTATTTCACACATATTTAATTATTTCTTGTAGTCAGAACTATCACTACGATAGCAAAGTAACCAACTCTTGTTGAGGAGCAGCAAAGGGATCGCCCAAGTTTCTCAAACAACAACCTGCATACCTTGCTCCCTCCAAAGCTGCTCCTTGTTCTTCTCCTCTTCTTCTGCCTCTCGGGCCACCTGCTGGTGCTTCTTTTGCAGATTGCGGAAGATCTCGCTCGTCCTCTCCTCGGTCAGTCTTTTCTCCCACAAAGCCACCCGCTGAGCAACCTTCTGGTGGGTATTCATCGATATTTCCTGCAGCACCTCCCTAGCGTCCACGAAATTGAACTTGTTCTTGTTCTGGTAGTGGTTCAGCGTGTAGTTGGGCGTCGCGTTCATCTTCTCCCTGAGCTCGTCCACCGAACAATAGATGTCCATGTCATCTTCGATGCGTCGATGATGAGACAAGTCTTCTATCTTCGGAGTGAGATCGATGTACTCGGAAAGCTGGGCCTCCATCTGTTTCCTCATCTGTTCCGCTTCCTTCTCGGCGATTTTTCTAGCTTTTTCTATCGCCTCCTCTTGAAGGATTTGCTCGATCGATTTGTCGTCTCGGTGCTCCCCCATCACCCACACCCAAGGTTCGCCGTCCGCGCCTTTGAGGAAACTCACGTTCTTCTTCTTGCCGGAAACGATCCTGGGCTGTTGGTCGCCTAGTTTTTGGTTCCATTCCTGCCACCTGCGCACCTGCTCCTCGCGCATCTTGCAGAACAGCGTCTGCTTCTGCTGCTCGTCAAGCTCCGCCAGGATCTCCGGATCCACGTACATGTCCCTGAGGATCTGTTGAAGCATGTTGCTGTCTATCTGGAATCCAGAAAATTTCGCAGTTGTAGGAAATAAGTGCATGGGTCGCCGCTAATTAAACAACCAGACGTGTTAGTTTGCTTCTACCCTTTTTCTATTTGACCAAGACATCTGCAGAAATAACTGATACACAGGGTGTCAAAAAAAAGTTTTAAATGAGAAGTGAGAATGTTAGTTTACATTGTTTTGGTTAATATCTCTATTATTCATCTTATTTTCGTTTGTTTTGGTACACTTGGTACCCACTAGATTAATATTTTCTAATTAAAGTCGTAAATATATCAAAAAAAGTAATCTACTATAAAAAATAGTTCTTATTAGCTCCGCGTGTGTAGCATATATAGTATAATTTGTAAATAAAAAGGGCTATTATACCGCAGTAACTTTCACCTGTGATAAATCGTCATCTCCTTTGACGTGAAAATTATTATTAATCGATGAATGTATTTACTTTCTTTCGTGCATTCGACAATAAAAGGATAATAAGGTATGTAAGTAACCAGGAATGCCCTTCAAAAAAAGAAAAACTAATAAAAAACAAATGCTGTAAAAATTATCAGGTACATTGGGTACCTTCGTATACTTCAACCAGACATATAGTGCTTTTACAACCAACCTCGTGATTAACTTTGCCTACTGTTTATTACTCCAAAACCGCATAAAACATGTACATTAAAAGTAACAATTTATTGCGTTCTATTTCATTACAAAATATTAAATATGATAATAATAATACTGTCGTCGCTTGATGTTAAAGTAAACGCTTCTACTTATTTAAAAATACCCCGTAGAATCTATGCGTAATTAAATTTTCGTTTAAATTCCGGTAAAATTGTGGTCCGTAATAGAAAATAATTTTATACCTATCTGTGTTTAATATTCTTCGGTTTGGTATACTACTTAGTTTAAGTTTATTAGTAATCATTCTTATTTCGTGTGTAATACAGCGTGTGTTGAATCGTGTGCGAATTATGCAAAATATGTGCGAGTCTAGTGTATCTCAGGAGATGGTCCCGCCCAAATGTAGAAAACACTATTCTATTGAGACTAAGGAAGTTATAAACAATGTTTATTTGACTCTCATTGAAACGGGGTGCCAGCAAGCAAGCATCTTTAGAAGAAACGGGCACATTGACGAAAATTCCAACATCAACTGTATGGAAAATTGTGAATAACCCCATTTCAGCTAGGAAAAAAAAAGCGATGCTGACATTTTCTCGAGTGTAGATGAAAGTGATCAAGATCCAATACGGCGTAAAATTTACCAGTTATACGAGGAACAAAACGTGCCTGCATTAGATATCTTAATTAGGAGGCTTGAAAAAGATGAAACCGGTGTTAAATGTGACAGAACTACCTTATGGAAGTGTATTACATGGGTCTTAGATTTAAAAAAATTGACAAAAGGCAGTTTTAATGGAATCTGTTAGAATTCGGAAATGGCGATTGGAATACCTAGAAAAAAATTGGTTTTACAGAGAACAACAAAGGTCAATTATTTACTTGAATGAAACCTGTTTCGACACACACACACACACACCCGGAAAATGGTTGGGTTGGCTCAACTGATGAGTGTAAAACAAACACGCCATCAAAAAGAGGTAAAGGAATAACTATTTTGCATGCTGACTCTAAAGATAGTTCGATTCCAAATAGACTTTCTCTGTCTGCGAAAAATATTAAAGATTCTTCTCTGGATTACTATGAAGACACCACCGCTGATTTATTTGATAAATCGGTTTAAAAACAAACTAGTTCCAAACATTCCTCCTAATGGCGTAATTGTATTGGACAATGCAAGTTGTCACAGTAGACAGTTGACTAAAACCCCTTCCTCATGTGACACAAAAGCAACAATCCAAAACTACATGCATAATAACGACATTTATTTTCACGAAGATTATACCAAAAAGCAATTGATTGAGGTTCTACAAAGCTTGAACCTACAAAAGTAATACGTCTGTCATAATTATGCAAAAAATCTAGGGCATACAGTTTTAAGGCTTCCACCTTACCACTGTATATTTAATACCATTGAACATGTATGGCACCAACTGAAATCTGCTATTCGTCGTAACAATGTTTTCCCCGTGTTAACTCCAATGTCCTCAAACTTATAGAAACCGAAGTTTTTAACATCCCTCCACAAAGTTGGTCAAATTTTGCTAAACATATAGAAAAACGAGAACAATCGTATATCCATATTGCCAATAATATAGAACAAATAATAATTAGAACAGGCGATGATAGCGATAGTGGTACTGTTATATTATGTGAATAATTTTAAGTAATTTAAGTAGGTACTAAAAATAATTTGTAATTTTATTTTAGATTTAAACATAAATACCTAACAAAACCCCTAATAATTAAATTCTAAGCAAAGTACGGACCTGTTCGGCCATATTTCATTCTTACAGCTTGCCCGGGTCTTTCCCTTAATTCTTATCAGTTAATCACTTTCTTAAATCTGTGAACAGACTTTACTGTAAAATACTTAGAACGTCAAACCAAAAAATGCACTATATTTTTGGTCGTATAATCCCTACATTTGTTTGCTGTTTCTACGTTGCAGAGTATATATGAACAAGCGCAAAATCGTATTTTTATGGACGATTTGCCACCATTTAGAGGACAAGAAATGATTTTATATAGTTTTACATTTATATAATAATAATAATCTAGTGAAAAAATTGTGCTCATCATTTAGAGTTAAATTTTAATCAATGTTGTTAATGTTGTTTACCGGACGTATTGTTGAAAATGGCGGTCCCAGAGCCTGACTAAGGTTTAGCACGGTATTGAGAAAATTTACATACAAAGTGATAGGCTACGTAGGAGGCAGGATGTCAGAACGACGCTATCCGTCTAGCGTTTCAAATCCCGAGGCTTATATACGTCACCCGAAACATATTAATTCTCGCTCGCCGAGTGGTAATAAGCCTGTTCCTCTTTATCGGATTGTTTATTTGCTTATTAAACGAATTTCACGGTCGAGTAGACGCGACGATATATGGCCAGATCCGTTTCCCTTCTTTTTTCTATTTAAAACGCGATCGTTAAAGCCGTTTTAAGAGCCCACTCGACTGATAAAATTATCGGTACTTTCATCGAAGTCGTTCGGATCTCTAATCGCACGTACAATGGCGGCGACGGAATTTTCAGGAGGAGGTAAAACATCGGAAAGCGACATTAGAAACGTCTTTCTACTCGACGGAATGGAATCTGACAAATAGGCGTCTAATTTCTGGCGGACGCGCCGGGCCGTAAAATTTTGAGCCGCGAAATGAAATTATATTTTGTGATATCATTTCAAGAAATGTTGATCCGGTGGAAAATTCTAACTACTGGGTCTTGGCGCGAGGGTCCACTTGACCTAAAAACGCGACGTCTTAAAGGTCCAGTAAACCTCTGTGGGCAGATGGTTTTGTTCGCCATCATCTGCGAGACGGAGACCGTTATATATGTAGATGCTGCGATAGCGGTTGCAGGTCAATGGGGAATCTCTAATTAAGTGGGCAAGCCAATACCCGTAAAGTGGTACGATACTGTAGTAGTCGGAGCCGGCGTAGAATCGCCAATATCTCCACGCAGTGACGGTTACGGTCGGATTGGCAACGCCGCATTGGGTTTGTAATCTACGCACCACCTAGACGTTTTATAATTTGGCCGATTTTTTTTTTTTTCTAATTTCAAATCAACCAAGAATCCGAGATATTAAGAAAGTAAACAATTTGGCAACGCGGTACGTAAACCCACAGAAAATATAATGGAAAAATCAAAGGTACTTCTTGAAGCGAAGTTCGATTTTAATTTTTTTCGTACTCTGTAGTACTCATATTCTCGTGATCATGATTTTACCGCTCAATAAAAACTTTTCCGTCATATTATGGGCCTACGAGTATGTCATCCGTCAATTTACCTAACCAACATCATTCTGTGTTTTTTGGTGTGGAGTAGAACGCCTTATATTAAAAAAATGAAAATATTTTTAGGAATAACCACGTCTAGCTCATCCTATTGAAGTCTCTTTGATGTCTCAGAGAGCGGTCAAGATAATCCTATATCAAAGGAGTTAGAAATGTGACCGAAAGCCGCGCAACAGCCAAATATGCCGTAAATATGCCGCGTCGTAACTAATTGACGATCTGTGTAAGCGGCCATTTATTTATTTATTTATCTATTTCAACGGCTGAGCCAAGTTACAACAAAAAAAGGATAGGTTATTTTTTTTAGTATCACACTAATACTTCCTTGCAATTAATCATTTCTTTTAATTTATCTTGGTCGTATGCCGGTAGCAAAGGGATCAAGACAGCAGTTGTTAAATAACCTGAAGGTCCGAGTTAAAGAAAAATAACCATAGTTGGAGGGGTGAAATGGAATACAAAACATAGGGGAGTTCTGAAGTCTTTCAAAGATATTAAAACGAAGCACATTCAAAATTTTATAAAACCTCAAAATATCGGAGTAGGTCCTTCTAATTTTTAAAGACCATCTATCACAATTAATGTGATAGTTAGGAACCTCAGAAACGCCCTTTGATCAGCCTCCAACCTGTCAATGTGACATATGTAATGTGGAGACCACACTAGCGATGCATACTCAAGAGAAGATCTAACTAAGGAGCAACAAAGGGTTTTAAAATAGTAGGATAAGGATAATAAAACCAAGACTTCTAATGACCTTCGGAACAATGTCTTCCAGCTGACCCAAAAAGATCGGTTTGCTGTGAAACATGACTCCTAACTTTGCTGGCACACTCTTTGGTTGTGTTGTTAATAACATATCTATTTTAAAAACTATTAGCTAAGCGAGAACAATAAAACACTTTCCAACATTTAGATCGAGACCATTTTATCTGCACCACAAACTGACATTATTAAGGTCGCTCTGAAGAATGATTCAATGGTTTTATAAAATTTAAAATCATCTCCAAAGGCAAGATGTTGAGAATACAGAGCCACATCACTCAGATTAAAGAAAACTGGACCTATGTGTGA